TTTTCTTTCTCCACTTTGCAAACAGCTCATTATATCACGTCGTGTCACAGCGTAAGCGCGATGTGCGACAGTAATAAATGTCCCTGCTAACAGTGTGCTGTATAGTACATGGAATAACAAAGCATTGATGCAAATGTTGTGTCAAGGCATTTATGAATCAATTTTATCATGAATCGTTTCAACCCTAATGATATGATTTTTTACCAGGCCAAGCCTATTTAAAGTCGTAGTTGATTACAGCGCATGGTGCTGCACATATTTCGCGCAGCACCATGTCTCTCTCCCTCCACACCGCTGCACAAATTTGTCCAACACAACTGTCAATGTCGGAGACCCAAAAAAGGAGGAGCCTAGCTAATAAGGAGAGCTATGTTAACATTAGATCACAGCTCGGTTGTTGCGGTAAGCATGCTGTAAAGAGCGTTAAGTCAATATCAACTGTCATTTTGTAAAGAAAAAGCGCTCTTTTGCACCGCACAGTGGGGTTTGTCGGGGTTCTGTGCTCGTGCACGGTTTAGCGATCACACTACACGCATACCATGCCGAGTCCAGTTTTAAACGATCACACTGGTCAAACGAACCAAACTTTGGGGGGTAACTGTGCCCAATACGGATCGCAGTGTGAGTGCGCCCTTAAAGACTCACTAAACCCCCAAACCTCTTATTTCAGCTGATAACCAACGTGTATGGGTATTTAGTAGTTGTTGATGGATTCAGGTCCAAATCTGGACTCACATAGTGCTATAAAATGCAGTGACTGCCCGCTACTGGTTGAAACCTGGATACTCCAATTTAATTTTGTTATTGGCTGATAAACCCTCCGGACTGACGCTTTCCAGCTCTTTCCAAATCAAACTTCCTCAGATGTCATCACATGACGTTAGTCCAGCACAGTCACATGATAACAGCTGGTTGTATTCAGGGCAGGAGGAAACAGCTAGCTCGGCTCTGTGGAAAATGTCACACTGACGCTTTGTGGATACATTTGTGTCTTCTAAGAGTTCTCCTGTTGGTATAAGAATTACCACATTGGCCACAGCTGTACGGTTTCTCTCCGTGTGAACACGTCTGTGGATTTTTAGGTCACCTGATTTAGAGAAAGTTTTTCCACACTGTTCACACCAGTACGGTTTCTCTCCAGTGTGAACACGTTGGTGGATTTTTAGGGCACCTGATTTAAAGAAAGTTTTTCCACACTGCTCACACCAATACGGTTTCTCTCCAGTGTGAACACGTTGGTGGATTTTAAGTGACCTGATTGAGTGAAAGTTTTTCCACACTGTTCACACCAGTATGGTCTCTTTTCATTATGAACACGTTGGTGGGTTTTTAGTTGACCTGATGCAGCAAAAGTTTTTCCACACTGTTCACACCAGTACGGTTTCTCTCCAGTGTGAACACGGTGGTGGGTTTTTAGGTTATCTAGTGCAGCAAAGTTTTTCCACACTGTTCACACCTGTGTGGTTTCTCTCCATGTGAACACGTTGGTGTTTTTTTAGGGCACCTGATGCAGTGAAAGTTTTCCCACACTGGTCACAGCTGTACGGTTTCTCTCCAGTGTGAAGTCTCAGATGAATCTTCAAATATCCAGATGTTGTGAAGGATCTGTCACAGTGCTCACAGCGGTGACGTTTGATTCCATCTCTTCCTCTCTTCTATAACAGAGAGAAACAGTAAGTGAATGTCATGGTGGAGCGAGCTATCTATAACCATAAATGACAGAGTATATCTTTGAAATCACATACTAACCTACCGTACCACAGTGATTAGGACTTTCTATTACATATCAATCATACTCAATATGTACTGAATATGTAATAAATGACAGAAAGTAACAAATTACAATTAATCAAGTTTCTATTATTGAGTAGTTTTTTTGTGCACTTTTGAGGGCCCGAGCATGAAACATGCGAGGTCCATATTAAGTAACAAATTACAATTAATCAAGTTTCTATTATTGAGTAGTTTTTTTGTGCACTTTTGAGGGCCCGAGCATGAAACATGCGAGGTCCATATTGAAACTGAAGGGATTTTTTTTTCTGCAAAGTAATCTAATTTTAAGAATTAATCTAAATCAACATCAAATTTTCACTGTGTAGTCTAAAACCCACTGACTATTAACAGTTGTACAAACAGTGAGTTTTCGTGGAACGGCTAACCCATGGCATGGCATCCAAAATCAATGATTCTCTTGGAGCCATAGCCTAAACCCAACAGGAAGTCGGCCATTTTGAATTTTACGGCCATTTTTGGATGATTTACACACTTCATACTTTAACGAACTCCTCCTAGGGATTTAGTCCGACCGACCTCAAATTTCTGCTGTGCCTTCTAAAGGCATTGAAGATGAAAAGTTGTGCTATTTGTGAGTTTTCGTGAATGGGTGTGTCCGTGGCGTCAAAGATCAAGTCTTCACCATGACACAGGAAGTTGTTGTAACTTCAGTGTACATGCTCACATCTGAACCAAACTTTACGTGCTTGATAACTCTCCCACCCACTATGGAGGACCGATCATGACAGTAAATACAGATATAAATAAATGCTCAATAAATAAATAAGCATCCAATTAAATACACAAAAAAATAAAGTAAATAACTAAATGTAGGTATTAATTAAATTATACAAGGAGACATAAATGTATTATTTTAATTAGCACCTTTACTTATTCACCTTTGTTATAATTACCTTATTTGTTTATTCAACTTTATTTTATTAATTTTTTAAATGTATTTATTTATGTGTGTTTTAATATTTTTGTCTGTTTTATTCTTCCTTTGTATTTTTTTTACCTTATTTATTTTCACATATGGTATTTATTTCTGCCTGTACTTTTTAAATTTCTGTATGCATTTCTGCCTCATTATGCAAATGAGGAGGGGCAACTCTGAAGACAATACTACCAGCAATGTCTTCCTTCTCTTTTCACGTAGACGCTCCGACAGACAGTGCTTTCAGTTTGCTGCATACATGGACAGAACTGCGGTATAGGGAGAAGCACACGGTCAGCTGGCTGCAGCTAAATCTGGAGTGCACTCGTATTCAATTCTGTATGGTAAATTCAGTTTTAACGGAGCAGAGCGAGCTGACAGGCAGAGTTAGAGACTTTTTCTGTCCATTTCTCTCTTTACAAAGATGCATGTTGCAGTCAGTCTTCTCTGAAGAGGGCAATGAAGTCTCAGTAGTACACGATGCGAGCACGACATACAACACAATTTATCAAATTACACAACGGATATACAGTATGAAAATAAGATTGATTGGATTATACTCACAGGAAGTATAAAACCTGTTACATGCGTATATTAAAAGTAAAGTAACACAAAAATGTCAGGGAAATTACTTTACTTAGATTTAAGTACTACAGTTGTACATTAGAAATACCTTCCTACCTTTCTGATAGGAAGCCTTCTTGAGGTGGTATAAAACATTTCTTCTTATATTCTTATTTGATTTGTGGACAACTATGACCACATGAATTAAAAAAATTAAACATTTCACTGCCCAAGTCAGCTATAACACAAGTCTTGATCATCAGACTACATGCTGTACAGTATTTGTGGACAGATTTTGTCCCAGGATTCTTATGCATTTCTTCTTCTTCGTTGCATGATTTAGAATAATAAGGTGAGAAATGGGTCTGTTCTGAGTTCATCCTGCACTGCAGCAGCTAATAAAGTCCATTTAATCCCAAAAACGCTTTTCTTTTAGGCAGGCTGGAGCAGAAAACAACTCACCTTTCTCAAGTTGTACAGTAATGTCACATGTGTATGAAGGTGGATCAAACAAGCTAATCTTAAATGTCAAAGTAGAGAGGAGCCTAGTAGGCTATTTATTTTCATTCATTACACAATATGAATAAGCTATGCAGACAGTTGTAAAGAAAGAACATCTTTTTCTTCTGTTCTCTACTTGTTATAGTTACACAGTATTAGGGGTGTGGGCTGTATTAAAAGTATCCACTGTTCTCCCATGCTCTAACACACAGTAACGATGAAATGTGTGCTGTTCTCACATTCTTCCTCTGTATGTACACATAAACAACAAGGCAGGGAAATATAAAAATTTATTTTATTGTTTGGGTACATTATTGTTCAGTGCACATGCTCACATCTGAACCAAACTTTACGTGCTTGATAACTCTCCCACCCCGCAGACATCTACACGTCAGTACCGATTTATATTCATAGCGGCAAGTGCTATGTAGCTCCACATAGGGGACACAGGAAGTGACATATAACACCTTCATGCGGCGTCGGAACCGCGTAGCAAATTCACAGCCGCACCGGCAGAGCTCCAGAATGTGCAACTCGGCCGGCTCACACCCGGACGCGCTACAAGTGCGAGGGCCCGCCCAACGCTGCTTGCAGCTTTAATTTTTCTATTTTCTGCAAAGTAGGCTCCATTGACATGGCCTAAACATACTCGAAAATTCACCAAACTTTGCACACATGTCAGGACTGGTAAAAAGTTTCGTATTTTATGGGTTTCGCGCATTGGGGTGGCAAAATAACTCGCTAGCGCCACCTAGAAAATTGGAAAAAATTAGCCCGCGTTCTCGTTCAACCTACATGCACGAAATTTGCTGGGGACATGTATCATATCAAGACGCACAAAAAAGCCTCAAGAACCCATAGCCTAAAGTCAACAGGAAGTCGGCCATTTTGAATTTTACAGCCATTTTTGGATGATTTACACACTTCGTACTTTAACAAACTCCTCCCAGGGATTTAGTCGGATCGACGTCAAATTTCTGCTGTGCCTTCTAAAGGCATTGACGATGAAAAGTTGTGCTATTTGCAAGTTTTCGTCAATGGGCGTGTCTGTGGCGTGGAGTCAAAGATCAAGTCTTCGCCATAACACAGGAAGTTGTTGTAACTTCAGTGTATATGCTCACATCTGGACCAAATGTAGGATGAGAGTCCCGCCCTGAACACATGTACATGCCGACATTCACCCACAGTCATAGCGCCACCTGCTGGCAACAGGAAGTGACTTAACGAAGCAGCCCCCGCCGCACATTTCACCTACGTGCATGAATTTTCTGTGGTACGTGTATCTTGTCCAGACGCACAAAAAAGCCTCTTGGAGCGATGCCCTAAAACGAACAGGAAGTCGGCCATTTGGAATTTTACGTCAAATTGTGGATGATTTACACACTTCGTACTTTAACGAACCCCTCCTAGGGATTTAGTCCGACCGACTTCAAATTTCTGCTGTGCCTTCTAAAGGCATTGAAGATGAAAAGTTGTGCTATTTGCGAGTTTTCGTGAATGGGTGTGTCCGTGGCGTGGCGTCAAAGATCAACTCTTCGCCATGACACAGGAAGTTGTTGTAACTTCAGTGTACATGCTCACATCTGAACCAAACTTTACGTGCTTGATAACTGTCCCACCCCGCAGACATCTACACGCCAATACCGATTTATATTCATAGCGGCAAGTGCTATGTAGCTCCACATAGGGGACACAGGAAGTGACATATAGCACCTTCATGTGGCGTCGGAACCCGTAGCAAATTCACAGCCGCACCGGCAGAGCTCCAGAATGTGCAACTCGGTCGGGGCCCGTCCAACGCTGCTTGCAGCTTTAATTTTTATTTTTTTTACAAGCACTATTTATTTATTCTGTCAAAATAGGATGTTAAGTCCGTCCATAAAGCTAGCTAAACATCATTGGTGATTTAGAGTGCAACTTAGCCTCTCTTCCAGTCTTCTTAAATCACACACATACACACAAACACACTTCTCATTCATAATTTCCCTTTGAAGAGTAGTCTAATGTACTATGGCAATTTACTGCTGAATTTAATAGGAAAAACGGACAACTGTGGGAACTGGACTACTATTTGAGCTTCGTGGGGGTCTGTAGTATAACTGACGTTACCGGCGGGGATTAATAAACAAATAACAGAAGCCTGGACAGAGGCTTCTTTGCTCATTACGTGGTCAACACTCTCTCTCTCTCTCACACACACACACAGCAGCCCACTATTTGCCCCAGATGTGTGAGATACTGCAACAAAGATTAAGTTTCAAAAGCCTGAAATTAACCAACAAAGACAGCTGCTCAAGGAGAGACGCAAATCCGCCCTTTATGGTATCATATTAATTATTATTAATCATGTCGTAATGACATTCATGCGGTGCGCAGCATAGTTCGTTAGGAAACGTGTCTCTTTTAGTGTGATGATCTTATTAATGTAATGTACATTTGTGATTAAAAATAATGGCGGTTGGTAAATGAAGTACTGACCCCCTCAGATGGAGGATTTTACTGCTTCAGTAAGAGCTCAGACCCTCCTTATAGACCGTAACTACAACCCTGCTGGACTATATGGACTATCAAACTGTAAAATCTGTAAAAAAGGAACACACATGAAATACAACATGTAGCCTATACCCTGCATTGATTATTTTGTAAA